GTGTGTGCGTGTGTGTGTGTGTGTATAATATATATATATATATATATATATACATATATATAAATGTAAATATATACATATATATAAATGTAAATATAAACATATATATATATATATATAGGTATGTGTGTGTGTGTTTGTGTGTGTGTGTATATACATGTAGATTTATGTACAATTATATATACATATATATGTGTGTGTCTGGGTCTGGGTCTGGGTCTGGGTCTGTCTGTCTGTCTATGTCTGTCTGTGTCTGTCTGTGCGTATGTATGTATATATGTGTGTATAGCGGCATGTATACATTTGTACTTGCCAATATGATTTTCTTTGTCCCTTAACAACACCTTGGCTCCTCATTTGCATTCCCTCCCTATATATATATATATATATATATATATATATATATATATATATATATATATATATATTGTAACGGATTGAAAATATCATACTAAACTGAATGGTATACGTTTTCAACGTATCTCAGTAGCGAAACAACAGACGTCTCTGGCCGTAAACAATAGGGACAACGGGACACCGGGTGTACCGCCGGAAATGCCCAAATTCGAGTTTGGGTTAACATTCAAGGACAGGCCTCATTTGGCCCTGCGAGTACGGATCACTGAACAGCACACCGATAGCACTGTCCCTAATACCACGTGAGTGCTTTTGGGTGCGGGTGTGTGCTGCTGTGGTGGTGGGATGCGCTTGGTGTGTGGCTGTGTCTGAGAGTATTTGCGGTATACATGTCTGGATCTTCGGATATTCTCTGCACGTCCTCAAATGCATTCATTCCCACAAGACAAAACATGAAAGTACGTATATGGGCAGCAGTTACATGTAGATATGACATGTATGTATATCTGTGGTAGTTACATATAGAAATAACATGTAAATATATACCTCGTAGTTACATCTAGACAACAATTAGTTATAAGTATATATGCCTCATTGGCTGTGCCCATATGTACGGCATCAGTACAGGGATCAGTTCGAGCTTGGCTTGTGAGTCCGCCAATCTGTGACCAACAGATGTGCATATCTTCGTATGTTATCTAACAATAACTGATGTGAGCGGTGCGTATCTTATTAAGTTACACACCACAATCTAAACCTGGGTTTTTTTTCTCTGGTTTTTTTTCTGGTGCCATGTCTCCCGCGCGCTGCCCCAGCCCCAACCCGTCTGTGCTGCTGTGTGGCCCTTCCCAGTCCATCGATACCCTACGCTCAATGGTTCGTCTGCATCTACATGCGCAAGAGGGCGTGCAACCTCGCATAGTGGGCTTCAGACATGTATCGGGAGAGCTGATTGTCAAGGACACCACTCTACGCAATATCGAGGTGCAGGTCTTGAAAGGTGTGTCACGTAGGCTGGGTATGCCAGGCACCCCTCGTGTGGCGGTGCTACTTGGAGTGTGTATAGGTTGTACAGGATACTATAGTGGATTCACAGGGCGTTGTACATGTGAGTGACATGGGTGTGTATGTGTGTTATGTATGCGTATGTGTGTTATAAGTGAGTGACATGCTTGCGTACGTGTGTTATATGTGGTTGATATGTATGAATATGTGTGTTATGTACGGTCTCATTGGATGGTATGTGAATATTTTTTCAGTGGTGCTTTAAATTCGAGGTGATTCTATGTGACATTCATAGTGTGTCGTATGACGGGAATTCTTCACGGGCGATGCTTCAGATTGAATTCTTTCATTCGTGCTATCCAATCCTCTACACCGAGAAGTGACTGACTCTCGCAGTACTGTGTTTGTCTACGCGAGGCGTGTGCATGAGGATAGGCAATACACACGTGTGAGTTTTGCACACATGTATAGTAGATCTTCACAGGTATGAAGAAACCTTTCAGATTCACAGCACTGCCTATCTAGAGATACCCACGGCGGTGCGCAAATGTGTTCGCACCAGCGCAGGGACGTACAACACATACGTGGGCATATATATTTATATATATATATAACTGTATAAGTATATGTATATATATATATGTGTGTGTGTGTATGTGTATGTATATATATATATATGTATATATATACTCACGCACACACACACACCTCTGTGTACGTTTTTGCCAAGACGGTTTCTTTCTCTTTACCAACCCACTCTGCACTTTTACCACTCGGTAGGCGAGCACAACACCAGCCTGCAGGTGATCTGCGACAGCTGGGAGTGCGAGAGTCCTTTGGAACAGTACAACCGCATCACACGCACGTGCGCACTACAACCGCTGGCAGCTGTGTGCAAAGGCCTCCAAACACACTACAACACAGAGGATGCAGATACCACGTTCCTCAGCCAGCACCCAGGTGTGTGGGGAGGCTAGCCTGGGATGTGAATGTGACACTTTTTTTGTGGACAGTTTGTGTTTGAGATGCAGTGTTTGGTTCTAGGCTAGTCTGACGTGCTGTGTGTTTAGGACACTTTGTTTAAGGGTTTAGGTTTCAGGACACTTTGTTTAAGGTACAGACGGTAGTTAGTTGTGGGATGTCCTAAATGATAGTCACACCATTGCATGCATGTGGGCCAGATGCGTGTGTGTGTTGTAGTTGTACGGGGGGCTTGTCAATACGATTCCTTGTCACACAGAGCCCGCCAGTGGGCTGCCTTGTTGGTAATATTGCGTGTACATACGAGGGTGTTGCATTCCATAGTCTATCTGTATATCTCTGGTAGCTATGACGAGCTAAGTAAGGTGCGTCACCCTTTAACGAGGGCTGTGTGTGATAGTCCCAATGGTGTTTGCTGGTGAAAGCATTGTTCTTTGCCCTGGGTCTATGGATGTACATTCCTACTTGCACTGTTTCGTTCAGCGTCGATTTTAGTAAAGAAAGTCTACCGTTGTCTCATGTACTTGATTTTGTTTTTGTTTTTTGTATGTATATTGTATACTCGCTATCCACGCCATGTTTTGTCCAGTGCCCGTTGCCGTTGATCTGATTATACCGACACATACCTATGTTCTCATAAACTAGGCTCGGTATATGCTGCAACGTACACATATACACACATACATTCTGCTCATATCTCGATACTACATTCTCCTATACGCTCATGCATCAGCGGATAGCCCACCCGCACACACCACACTGGCCATCGCCCATACGCCGCTTTGTCATCAATTGGTGGCGGTGGAGCACTCACAGACATATGAACGGTATCTCCACGCGCCTGTGCACAATGCCATGCAGCTGGTATGTAGTCTGGGTGGTTCGCCGTCGTTTGAGGGATTGTTTGCACGGGTTGTGCTTGTGTTGCTGTTGTTGTATAGTGTGTTGTGGCACTCGTCTGGAAATGGCCGCACAGTGTGTTGGGCTTTGGTATAGTGGTGTGCATGTACTGTCACGTATATACTGACTGGACGTATTCGTTGCTTGATATTACCATTTCCTGTGTGACTATCCGAGATCGCTCCGAACCTCTTCAATGAGACCAGAGTGCCGGGTGTGTGGTCCGTCTCATACTGTGCTGTACAGAGCAACACTACTTTGTAATCAAACACATATGTATCTCTGCTGATTGAAGGTGAATAACCCTGGCGTACGTCTATTGTGCCATATCAAGTCTATGTGCACCCCCTGTGTCCACACGCTACAGCGACCACGTAATCTGGCCCACGCACATTGTTGAGCGACGAATATCTCATCTACACACTCTCTACAGACAGGTCCTCTGGTGTCAATAGAAGGCTCGATCCGTTCATCCACACGCTCACGGCCACGCACACACAGACACATGCGCGCGCGTATACCTGATGTACTGATATTATGATGGGCCATATAGCACACAAATGCACACCGTGTGCACACACGCCCGCTACGCCAGCTGTCACCGAACATCTCTCTCTCTCTCTCTCTCTCTCCAACCCGATCAACTCATGCTCAACGTAGAACGAAGGTGTGGAAGGGCTCCATCCGAGCGAACGTCAGCAGCGCAGTGACTTTGTTGAGTCCCGGCAGTATCTCGAGCGCTATCTGCAGCTGACAATACTCGTGCGATGCATGACACACGTGCGACACCTGTCACGTGTCAACCTGTCACACACCAGGATCGATGACACGGGCGTGCAAGTGCTCGTGAGTGGCCTGGGTGTGGGCAGTGCGTTAACTCACGTGCAGCTGAGTGGCAACTTGATCACCGCTACCGGGGTGGAGTTTCTATCGCAGACTTTGTATGTAGTTATGCCTTAATATAGTAGGCTGGGTGTGTTGCAGGCCCGAGTTTATAAACGTCTCGGGTTTTTATGGAGGGAGTAGGTGCATGGGAATGATGTAGTGGCCCTTTGTTGCTAGGGACCAGGTGCATAAGAATGGTCTAATGCTGCTCTGTTGCTAGGGACTAGGTGCATAAGAATGGTCTAATGCTGCTCTGTTGCTAGGGACCAGGTGCACTGGGAATGGTGTACTAGTGCTCTGTTGCTAGTGTGTATCACTCTCAGACCTAGGTGCGTGGTTGTGTTGCTAAGGATTGGTTATTCTATAGCGGCTGGCAGCATCTGTGCTACAGCATATGTCGGCCGTGTATTGCGAGTTGGTATCAGTGCGGTGACTATACATCATTAGTGTTATTCATAGTAGTGATCAGTGTGCACTCGGACTTTCTAATTGGCTAGGCATCTGAGCTTGCAATCTATTACAACGCCTTGTCATAGATCCGTAGAGACCTGACCCCTCCCGCAAGCCCCATGTGCTGAGTGGTCAGTACGCTGCTGTACTCTCTGTCACCTACACATAACCATCCACAACCTGCCGCCGCTGCTTACGCCGATGGGTCTACCTCATGGTTGTCCGTGCTACTGTAGTACTATGATATTGACGATGAAGTTTCAGGGTTTAGGGTTTTAAATTTGGTTTAGGGTTTCGGTTTTGATTGAGTAAGCTGACACATCTGCGTACACAGCCAACTGTACGGCACAGCATTAGCATTGCCATCTACTCGTAAATTGGTGAACCACCACGGGACTTGGGTATCACGATCGGCCCTTATAAATACCTCTACACACAATCGATTGCACTCCACAGTAACCATCTACGCCGACGTATATCCTGACTATGCACATACCTCTACAAGATACATAGCTTACACTTACGCCGATGTATATACCTGATGCATATGCCTACCTACAATGCCTTACTTTGACCTGTGTTGATGCACATACCCCTATATGATACATAGCTTTCAGTTACGCCTATAGAATATGCCTGCGTACAATTCGTTGCTTTTACCTGTGCAAATACACATACCTCTGTAAGATCCATAGCTTACACTTACGCCTATGTGTATGCCTAATGTATATGCCTGCGCACAATGTCTTGCCTTACCTCTGCTGATGTGCATGCCACACAATCTATCGCACTCCACTGTGCATACCCACAGGTCCAAGTTGTGTGTGCTCGACCTGTCATATAATCTGCTGACTGATTTGGCTGCCCCACACTTGGCACGGATACTCCACACAAACAACGCTACGGTATGGTTGTTATGTCTTATGCCTGGTGTCGTTTCGTTATGAATAAAAATATCAAACGTTTATATAGTCGTTTACATATTATATTTTTTATTTTTTATTTTTATTTTATATTATTATATATTATTATATTATTATATTATCATTATTAGATTATATTATATATATATATATATATATATATATATATATATATATATATATATATATAGCATACAGTAGTCTAAGTGTCGCTAGTGCCCGTGTTCTTTGGTAGCGTGTTTGTGATTAGAAGTGTATTCTTGTGCCATCACCAGCAATCATCTCGTTGCTAGTGAATTTTGGCGCTTGACATTCTAGTCTGTACTGCAAAGTAAAGGACTCCTGTGGCAGAGTCTCCTATATTATGTATCGAAGACCACATACGGACACTGTGCTCCAAGCGTCCACCGTGTATTGGTGCGACAGTACTTCTAAAGTATGAGGATGGGTTATTATTGAAAGCTTCAACACTCCAGTACGTCCACGCAGGAGAGGGTTTACTGTCACTCTCCTCATGGGGCACTCGGCAGACACTCTCCGATAGACAAACCGCCCACCACTCGCATGTACCATATGTAGTCTGACCGAAACTCGCAACCATCGCGTCGGTATATTCTCCTGTCTCATATACTTCTATGCTCGTAGCAGATTCAACGCCTTAGGCTGGACAGCAACTTCTTAAGCAACCGCACACTGTCACACCTGAGCACCCCGCTGGTATCAACAGTACGCCAATCGCTGCAAGAGATTGGTCTCAGCGGCAACGCAGAGATCACTGTGGTTGCGATAGGTATGTGTTCGATGTTGTTCCGAGAACGCGCGTCCGTACTTCTGTAGTAAAGCACTACAGTACTTTTTTTAAGGCACTACGTTACTCATATACTCATATGAGCAAAGTATTACTTCTGTAATTCTGCAGATACATGTGTACGTGAGTGGGGTGTTGGTGACAATGTAGTGTACAATGCTTGCAGGAGGTGTCTCTTGAAGAAGTACGCAAGATGTGTTCCATTTATTGCGTATGCATGGAGTATTATTTTTACACCCGAGCTTGCGAGCTAGATGCCAAGGGTTGCCATCCACTGCTGATTGCTCTTGCAGTCGATTTGCATCTTGTCGCAGTGGACTTGCTAGGGGCTCGTGAGGCTATTATAGAGGCCTTGTGGTTGCTAGGGATTCATGAGGCTACTATAGAGGCCTTGCAGTTGCTAGAGACTCGTGAGGTTATTATAGAGGCCTTGTGGTTGCTAGGGACTCGTGAGACTATTAAAGAGGCCTTGTGGTTGCTAGGGACTCGTGAGGCTATTGTAGAGGCCTTGTAGTTTTGCTAGGGACTCGTGAGGCTAATATAGAGGCCTTGTGGTTGCTAGGGACTTGTGAGGCTATTATAGAGGACTTGCGGTTGCTAGGGACTCGTGAGGTTATTATAGAGGACTTGCGGTTGCTAGGGACTCGTAAGGTTATTGTAGAGGCCTTGCGGTTGCTAGGGACTCGTGAGACTATTATAGAGGCCTTGTGGTTGCTAGGGACTCGTGAGACTATTGTAGAGACCTTGCGGTTGCTAGGGACTCGTGAGACTATTATAGAGGCCTTGTGGTTGCTAGGGACTCGTGAGACTATTATAGAGGCCTTGTAGTTGCTAGGGACTCGTGAGGCTATTATAGAGGCCTTTCGGTTGCTAGGGACTCGTGAGGCTATTGTAGTGACCTTGCGGTTGCTATTGGCTCAGTTGGACTAACATGTACGGGCTGTCGGTGCTTGTCGTTGCGTATGGTATATAGCCATGTGCACGCGCTCTCCTTAGCACTTGGGTTGATGCTTGCCGTAGTATGACTGTTCTATCTGATCTACTACATGTGCGCTGGCTAAGTCATAAAGCTACTTTGTTGGTACACCCATGCTAATATACTTACCCCTATTGCACCACAGTGAAACTCATCCGGTCATTTGATGGCGGATGTCCGCTGACTGTTCTCTCAGATGGCGTTGGCTCCAGTTCGCACGCCGCAGCCGTATCGCCAACTGTCGACCCTCTGAGCCACAACTCACCAACCGACGCGTGTTTATCGCCGTCTCTCATTGGTCACACGCGTACCGCTATACCAGCCGATGTACACGTGTCTCTCAGAGGCGTGCACCTCACAGACGAGAGTCTGAGGACTCTGTTGGACGCTGTGGCATCAGGTGGGTGTGTATGTTTAGTACCGTTCGGCACGGTGTGGGAAATGGTTTATCTAGGTCGTAGGCTTGTTGGTTAACTAAGTTGTTGGGTATATTCAAAGGTGCGAGTCCAGCAGTTGAGGTCTTGCTCAGTATAAGTGTGCGGGCATTGCTTGGCGACTCTTTGTTCTGTGCGTTATGCTTTGCCTCTATGAGTTGTTGTATGGATACTCATACAGCAGCTGTTGACCTGATCTTTGGGTGTGTGTGGCGGCGCCGATTGAGCCAAGTGCACTACGCACACACATCCGACTATGAATACAATACCTCGCAGAGGCCCAGAATACTAGTACACCCGTAGATACTATGGCGTGAAGTCACCGGTGACTGAAATATGAGAAAAAAAAACTGAATATGTATGCAATACGTCACAAAAGCACAGAATACTAGCACACCCGTAGCTATTGTGGCACGAAGTCACCGGTGACTAAAATAGGGCATATGCCGTTGTTAAGGACTTTTATACGGCGAGAATCTAAGACATGTTTATATATATATATGTGTGAGAGTGTGTGTGTGTGTGTGTGTGTATCTACGACATATACTAATTCTGATGTATATGTGCAGGGTTTGTGATACGCCTCAATCTGTCGCACGCTGTTCTGCCCGGCAGTGGTCTAGCAAGTGTGCTCCAGGCAGCGGTGGCGACGTCAAGGTGAGTATGTTTGTATGTGAGCATGCTACTATACAATCCAGTAGTAGACCATTGTGTGCGGCCCTGTGTGGTGACTGTGTCGCGGTACTGGCTAACTGAATTTGGCCGGCTGTATTCTGGTACAGTGAGACTTGAGCCTTTGGACTGCTGCGTTTGTCACACAAAGTAAAAATAAACTACGAGTGTTTGTACAAAAAACGGCTATAGTACGCAAAGTATCCTCTCTACCGTCCCGTAGTCTAAGATCCATCGCGCTTTGCCTGTGTTGCCCTTTGCGAGTTGGGGTCCTAACCCGTTGATCGTACTATACATAGCCGGCTTGAGCAGCTCGATTTGTCACACCATGTCATCTCCGATGCCGACATTGCACCACTCCAGTACTGTGTAAAGGCAGTGTGTGATGGGCATAGTGTGCTGACGAAGTTGGATTTGTCCTTTGCGACCCGATTAGGCCCTTGTGACGGGTATGTGGTGCGACCAATTTCCGATTATTGGTTCGTCTACTTTCGGGTGCCTTACACTTTGGTCCCGTCTATGGACAGGTGTACTGTGTATCTGCATGGCTCACTTCTTTGTGGTTGGTGCCTGTGTTCTTGAATTCGACTAGTAGTCCTGTTAAATTATCTTTGTCTCGATTTGCGGAAGAATTTGGAAACGACCATGTATCTACCTTTTCACATACATAGCAGTTGCACACAAACTAGGAACACGCTCGTTGTCATTGCATTGATCGGTGCTTCTTGGTTCGGCCATTCATAGCATACTGATTTTACATGTTTTACTGATAGGATCGACGAGCTTCTCATCGCCCACGACAAGCTGGCCAGCCTTGAAATAGTTGCCAGGGGTATGCGAATGGGACGTCAAACAGTCCCCTTACAGGCCGGAGCGTGAAAGTAGGTTCCCATAAACTTAATCCATAGTAACTTAGTAAATAAATTTAGAATATAAAGTCTCGCGAAGTATTTTACAGTTTACTGTGCCCGCCTTTTAATAGGCTTAGATGTGTGGCAATACCCGTTTGTGTCATCTGAGTTTCGACTCTGGTTGTGAATTCCGCAATATCTTCGGATGCGCAGGTTCGAGTCCTGCACCTGTCATAAAATTTGCAGGTTGGCCGAGTGGTCTAAGGCGTTGTGTTTAGGAAACAATCAATTTTTTTTTTGGGGGGGGGGGAATGTTATAGGAGTCATATCATAGCCTTCTGAATTATACAGTAATAGGAGCCATATCATAGCCTTCTGAATTATACAGTAATAGGAGCCATATCATAGCCTTCTGAATTATACAGTTATAGGAGTCATATCATAGCCTTCTGAATTTAATATACAGTTATTGGGGTATACCGCCTGTATCAGTCGTTCTGAGCGTCGCATATTGCGAAATGCATATTTTTAGCTTTGTCTTAGTGAAAGGCTCTAAAGTAGACAATACTCACCTCCGTATTAAAGAATTTGTTCGCAGACTTATCAGTAATACACCTCGAAGTTTGCTGCTGTAATCTGAAGTAAATAAACGAGTTCATTGGATACACTGACAGCAAAGATTGTACCTTGACCTAATTGCTGTAATGAAACTTTTTTATAAACTCAACAATTATAATATCATGTTGTATAGCATTTCTGAATTAGACACTATTATTTACTTACATCCCCTTAAGTAAACTCACTAAAAAATCTCCAACACGGGAATCGAACCCATGGCAGATGAATGGAAATCATCTATGTTACCACTACACCAGTTGGACACTCTTACTGTATAAATAGCTCTATCAATTACTAAAAATAAAATAGTTTTATTCACTATCGCTCGCATATGTTTATTTATTAGGAAAATAGTAATACATGCGATCCTCCTCACATACCAACGTCCTAAAATTGACTATGTAAATATTATTAATATACTTTCATTACATCATTCTTAGCCTGAGTAATACTTGCAACTATTCCCCATAAAGTCCTCCTCTTGCTGCCAAGTCCCACGTCCTTCACGTCCATTTCATAGGGGCGCGTCCGATTCGCCTCGAAAACCGGCACCGGGAGCCTCGGTTTTCTTGGCCAAATCTGACCATTACTTGTTCGACAAGCCGCACATTGTTATAACTCCAAAAAATGACCAATTGTTAAAAATCAGTTATATGTGCACGGATCGTGAATATTCTTAGAAACTACGAAATGAAGTAGCAGAAGTATAGTACATCAGGGAATGGAGAGATGAACTCGGCCTAATAATAGTATAGAACCGATTATATACATGTGTGAACGGCTGAACACTTAGACTTCCATGAAACATTATAGTAGACGACTGAATCAGGATATCAGCCTTTGAACACTAAAGTAGAACAATTGGATTAGTTCTTCAATAGTAAACTAAGTGTATGGTCTACTACAACGAAGCTCTAGCCACAGATACTAGACTACAACTAAGTGTCTCGATTGATTTAATAACCTTCTTTTTTTTCGATTTGACCTACTAACTCCAGAATGGGTGATTGCTTCAGCGATACAACGTCATCACGCATAAGTGGCAACACTCCACGCAATGAGCTTCGAACGCCTTCGATGTGTTATAGACGACGCTATTGCCCAATTCTGTCTTTTCTCTATGAATGGAAACTAGAAAAGTTCCAGAAGGAGTATACGCGATTCCCCGCGCTTCAATTTCTCGACCAGCCGAAACAAATCAAATTGATGGTAGCACTAGGAACGGAGGGAACAAACGTCGAAGTTGAACGTTGGCTGATCGCACACTATGGAAGTGCAGCATACCCCATAAAGCTGGAGCACGACGCGGAATTGCTATAGCAAGCACGTATAAACAAACAATCCACTACCAATCGGATCTAGCTAGATAGTGTGTACTTTCTGCGCTGTATCATTTAGACGAACAACACTTGCCAATGCGGATACCCACACCAATGCGTCGCGATAGAGGTGACATTGTCCTTGCCCGAGCGGCAGATGGAAAAGAAGTCAACGAATCTCTTCGACTAGAAGCACCACCAAACCTCTCAACAAACCCTGTTGATCCACGCCTTATGGTTATTTGATTACCGTCAACAGATGGATGCGGGGAACCGTGAGACAATAAGTGACAGGGATGAACCCTTGCCTTCAAACGCCCCTACCGATGCCTAAACCAGAGCAGTCTTCTACCCCTCAGCTTATTGCCGACTAATGGAGGGCATATGATGTTGGCCTTCAGCATCGTAAGGCGGACGATGCAGTTTCATTTATGCCTTAGCGCACCTCAACTGATCCTAATATGATCGATCAATGGTTGCTCTAAAGCATGGACTTGCTAGAACACTTGTCGATGGGGAGACCTTTCGTAAATGTCCCACAGCTCGGTGAAGCAGCCGCGGGGACCACGGGATGCTTTTCAGTCTAGTGGCGATGCCACCGAGTTCAATGATAGTATTATCTGATCGGCCACAGGTCGCTGGCACACACAAACAGCTGACCGACAAAAGCACTTTTACCTGCCCCAACGGCCCTGTTGGTTTCTTATGGCGATATATCCAGAGGTTGATGGAAGACTTTCCCAATATTTCGATATGCATGTCGGTCAGACACGCCTCTCAGTTTATTAACCTCCTTGACTGAATGGAGCACCTCCGGAGATGCAGCGAAAGGTCTGGGTTGAAGGTTGGACATATCCAGTGACGCTGAGAAACAGGGATGTTTCAAGCCTCAAACATTGTACCCTTTAAAGCTACAACAGTTGAGTTGCGGACCCGCTCATCTCAGTTTGAGGCAAATGTTTACCAAATTTATGGACCAAATTGTACAAGCTCCGCATCGCAATGTGAACGTTCATAACTACTGCGTACTACGATATTTTAAAGAGGGGCTATTACAAACACTCGACCTGTATGAGCCTACGCACACTACGGCCTACTCCACTCGAAAGTTATCGGCGACTGCACTTGAGCAACACATAGCCTCATCGACTAAACGCAGCCGCAGTATGTCGCCCGGCTTTACGAACTATACCTACTGTGGCAGGAGCCAGTCCGAGAATCACGATGATAGTGACCGATGATCGTGACCGGCCATCTAAAGGCTGTAGCCTGAGCACGGGTTGTGGATACCAATCGGACTCCGAACATAGGTGCGGCAATAGTCGCCAGCAATCAACTGGCAACGGCGGAACCTATCCAGACCGAGCTAGTGGTGTGACCGCAAAAGCTTCACTCCTGGGACCCACCAACCTCCGCCTGACATCTGCGACATCACAATTTTTGTGAAGCTACAGCGACCTGCATTTCCCGCTAATTGAATGCAAGCACAACATATGACTGACGAAGAGACGACGCCCTACGCTCAGACACCACACAGTCCAACGAAAACCGACATTCTGTTGTTTTCCGACAGCAGGTAGCAATGTCAAAACTCGACCGCCAGCTGAAGTTTGCCATCACCAAACTATACGAGGGTCTTGAACGTTTCATTGAGGTCTTTGGCTCCACTGCCAGTCTCCTTCCGTTCCAAGAAGTTTCTGTAAGAGTGCAATGTAGTAGACTTTAAATGAAGTGCAAATGTATTTAAAGAGCGGTGCGTTCGAATGAATTTATTTATGATCTCACCCTCAGTTATATACTGATAGTATTTGTACGAGTGTTCAACCACTAGGGTTGGCCAGGGTAAAAACTCATATGTTCAGTATGAGAAACCTTATGCAGAACACTTTAGCACTCGGATATATTTTCTAGAAATAAATATATCATATTCTCTGTTACGCACACTCAGTCTCGGACCTCGGCTCTTGGGTAGCCGGTGGCCCGTGTCCTATAAATAGAATAATCTGAGAAGAAGTCTCAAATTACTCTTACATTCTCTTGGGCTGACCCACCTATACATATATTAATTTAAGAACAAGTCCCTAATTACTCTCGAGCTAACGACGTAAAACATTATTAACGTATTTAAAAATACGTCTACTCCTGTAGTCTCTCAGTTTCACTTGGTGCGGCGGCCAAAGTGTTGGGTGCAATGGCTAGCCCTGTGGTATGTAATAGAGATGACTGTACCTTAACGTTCTCCCCTCGTACAAGAGGAGAGGTTGCTTATATATTGACAGTCTTATAACCAATGATCCGGAACTTAGTCATGTGCCTTATCCGATCAAAACGCTTGATCGGGTAACCCAAATTTACGGCATATACAAATAATCTCAAATATCCAACAACCCCTATTAGGTATTCGTTCCAAGCTGAAACACTACCAGTGTGCCAGTTTCTGAGATAAGAAATTAGTATCCAAGCACGGGCCGGGGACACTGGCCTTTATTTTCAAAGAGCTAAGGCAGTGTGCTGGCATTTTACCTCAGAGAGCTAGACGGCTCAAAGTTAATGTTTCTAGCACATCGCCTTCTTAACCGAAATTAGTATCCAAACACGGGCCGGGGACACTGGCCTTTATCTTCAAAGAGCTAGGGCAGTGTGCTGGCATTTTACCTCAGAGAGCTAGACGGCTCAAAGTTAATGTTTCTAGCACATCGCCTTCTTAAACTATTCTCTGTACAAAATAAAAGCTTAATTCTGGTCGCGGCGACACATACGCGCATGTGCTGCGAGTCCTTATAGTACGTGATAATATCGTTAGTGATGACATTCATAAAGTTTATTTCAATTTGGGGTAAACTATTATATGTATCGTCAAACACTTCCGCTGTCTCCCACGCCATCGTATTTAGTATCAAAATTTACCAGTCTCGTCATTCGGTCGGCGTTTAATGATATGGCGGAGCTCTAATCCTTCTTCCTGCCACAACGCATCGTTCAGCGAGGGATCCGTACTACGACACCGCACGGGCCGAAAACGGTCGCATTTTCGACGTTCTTCTTTCAGAATTCACCATTATAATGTCCCTTTCATTAAACTGGACCAAATCGTTAGAAGGTCGAAGGATTTTGTCAGTTTGTCCGTATACTCCATCGTTAATATCGGCAATATTGTATCACATAGTACCAAAGTACACGCAAGGGTGCAATTGTGTTTACGGGTGATACGAGGGTTCTGGTACAATATTTTGAATGCTAGATGTTCATCCCATGCCTGCGGTATGGCCTCACAGCAGATGCGAATTGTGAGAGGGAAGGTAGTTCACATCTTGCCTGGAAGTTCAACAATCTTATTGGTAAATTTCGAGCCCATGTCTGTCTGCATTTTTCATGAGAATCCGTGTTCACCAAAAATCTCTACCAGAGTCAGCACCGTTGTCCGTTTCGACTTATCAGGTGTGGCGCGGAGGATCCAGTAACCGATAGCTACATCCAACACATGAAGGATGAACTTGTTCTTGTCGAGATATTATTGGTATGGTAATGTAATCGGCCCGAATGTGGTCCCACGGATATCATACGCTAATACTAATCGTCTGGTGGAAACCCTTTCATAAAGTGTCTTGGCCCAAATGAGAGACTACAGGTCTCAGGCCAGATTTTACAGCAAGAAAGCATCTTTGATTTATGGAAGTCATCAGAGTTAGCTCACTCCCGAGAGCTAAGTCATCGGAGTTAGCTCACTCCCGAGAGCAAATCAAGTTGCTCAAATTACTCTCAAGAGTTGAGTTATTACTTAACCGACTTCCGAGAGCAGATTAAGTTTCTCAACCGATTCCCGAGAGTGAATTAAACCTGACAACCGCAACATATTAATGATAGATGCGGTTCTATGTGAGTCACAACCTATGCGGAAAGGCATCATGTGATCAGCGTGAGATTTAGTTGCAGAGAAGTTGAAATAGAAAAGCATCGAAGTGTTTAAGTGTTCCGCATAAGGTTTCTCATACTGACCATATAAATTTTTACCCTGGCCAGCCCAAGCGGCTGAAGACTAGCACAAACACCTTAGGTATAAAACCAAAGGTGAGGTCAGATATAAATACATACATTTGCACTTTCTTTAAAGTCTACTATATTGCACTCTAACACCAAACACTCACCACATTGTCTCGATTTCCGTGTCTAACTCCAAGTGGCTAACTGTCGCAGTTTGTGAACTGTGTCAGCCGCCCCGTGGTTGTCTGCGCGAATGCTGGCTGCCCTTCATTGCTAACCAAAACAATGAAGATTGATCGCGCTGCGTCTAAACAACCGTTTTATGGTATGGGACGTGGTTCCACATACCCGATTTGCTGTGAGTAGTTTGAATTCAATGTGAACTCAGTCTTTCTACTACCGTGTGTTCTCATGGTGACTTCCAGCACGCGTACTTGGCATATGTCAAGAATGTGTGTCGTGTTTGAGGCACTAGTACCGGCTACGACTGTAGTATGTGCATAAAATAAATCAAACCAAAGCACACGTGGTACCCAAGGCAGGCATAAGATTGCAAATGCCCCGTCCGCTTTGATCTTGCGGAGCATCTTGTGAATGAGCTTTCAATGTAGGCTCATGCTTCCTTGCACGAGGGACCACTCCTGGTCGAAAAAAGTTCTTCGTCCAAATCCGAGGCTGCTGAGCCTTATGTAGAGCCGCAGATACGGACATGTTATTTGGTCCGGAGATCCTTTGGGCCTGCTCGAAGTAGCTGGTAAATAATTGTCAGCAGTCTGCATATCTTTATTATCTGCCGTACCTTCATGTACTATGCTTACAATATCCGGTAGCACTTACTTTTCTGCCATCCGCCTGGTCGAAAAAAGTTATTCGTCCAAA